TGTGGCGACCCTGACCGGCCGCTGATGTTCGTGTGTTCTGTTGTGTGCAAATGGGTTTGACACTGTTGTTGAAAGCTGTGCATGTATTGGTTACTGTTTGTTCCGGTGAAATACCCGCGCTGTTCTGTCCAATGTGGGGTTTGGGGAGGAACAAGTACGGGAGAGTATAAGAAGGGTGACAGGTGGGTGTGTCAGGTTCACTTTATTGGCGTGGGACTTATTCTTTCTTTTTTTTTTTGAGAGCACATGGTGCCAGTTTAGACAGCATTTTCATTTGTCTCCATACTGCTTCAATAAAACCACAAAAAAACAAACCAGGTGTTCTCCTCCTTGTTAAGCCAGGTGCCGGCACACCACTGGCTAGTTAACTGTCAAGTATAGGACAGGGTCAGGCCAGCTCCTCTCAACTGAGCCAGCGGTCGTCACAATAATATCAGTGTCATTACTTATGACAGCAGTAGGTTTTCATGTTCAAGAAATCATAGTATGAGGTTCAAACTATTATGGGAATATTGCTTTTATTGCATTATGGGAAACCTTGGTGAAGCTTGCACTCTGAGTGCTGTCTTGTTTCTTAATGTACTTCTGTTGTTTAGTCACCTGTTTGTTTAATTTATACTTAGTTGCTGTCCTGCTTTGAGTTTAGTTATTAAACAGTTTTGTGTTCTGAGTTTGGCATACTACCTGGTTCCTGTTCTGACCCTCCCCCCTGCAGTAAGCGTATTCACTTCCTGTTTACTGTGTCAGCACTGTGTTGTGCTTGCTACCAGATTGTTTATGAATTAAGCTCACCAATTTCTAGGTTTATCTGAACATCAGCTAATTTAGTTTGAGTCACAACATATGCCTGCACTACTTAAATACCTGTATTACAAAATATCTCACAAATTTCCACATTTAAGTTGTTACTTTAGGTCAGCTAGCCTTACCTTTGTTGCTGGTCATCAGCTCCTCCTGCAGCAAATCACTCTGCCTGTTCCCCAGCACAAAGGCCAGGAAGGAGAGAATGAGGGCATCCAGGATGCCGATGAATGCCAGGATGTATGCCCAGCGCACCGAGCAGTTGCCCAGGGTGTACTTTCCCGTGTCTTCCCCACACATGTCCCTGATGACCTCAGCATCCCAGCCATTTGGGAAGATCATACAACTGAGCACCAGACACACAGCTGAAAACAGAGAGGGACAGACACAGAGACAGCAAAAGAAGAAGTGAATGGTAGCAGTGAGTAGAGACATCGACAAATGTTTGAGGGCATGGATATTATCCATAGATGTTTAATGGTATTTGGTTTGATATTATATTTTGTCAGCAGTATATATAATAAGGGGCAGAGCAGTGTACTAGTGAAAATCAGCAGAGAAAAGAAAATCTATACATTAAAAAGGTTGAGTTATAGAACAAAGCAAGGTTTTACAGTTGGTGCAATGAAATAGGACTTGGGAAGAAACAGGTTTGGGTGTAAAGCAGCAGCCCAGGCACAAGATTACATGAGGCCAACAAGATGAACATGAGAGAAAAGAGGAGAGGCAGAGAAAAGAAGAGTATTATTTTTCAATTTCACTCTGGGTTGTAGAATTCTTGCACTGGTATTGCCAGTATCTGCCTCATCACTCAATCACTTCCCTTCTCTGTTCTTCAGTAAAGGCAAGTCTTTGAACTGATGGAGTGAGAAGTGAAAGGAAACTATAGAAAGCATGAAGCAGAGGCACATTGTACTCAGCTGCTGTCACATCGTTTTACACCCAAAATAACATCAGTTCACTTTTTCTGTGGTCATTGTCAGTGAAATGCCCGATCAACCATTTAATTATTGAAAATGAAGAAATGCTCAGAAGAGATGGAGAGAGGGAGAGTGAAAAGTAGAAGCCAAAAACATGACTGCAAAACTGGATACAATATCCACTATGACATTCAAGAGGCTGATCTTAGCTCACATCAAAGGTTTTATTCCTGCTACTCTGGACCTGCTACTGGACCAACAGAATAGCAGGCAAACAAATCACCAGAGCCTGCAATCAGCCTTGCTCTTCACACTGTCTTGCATCTCCTGGACAAGCCAAATGGGTACGTCAAAGTGCTTTTCCTGGATTACAGTTCGGCCTTTAACACAGTCATCGCCACTGCTCCGGAGTCTAAACTACAAAGGCTTGGACTGAGCTCAGCCATTTGCAACTGGATTCAAAATTTCCTGACCAACTGACCCCAAAATGTCAAATTGGGAGTTAATACATCTTCCACTCTCACTCTCTTGGGACTACAGGAGTGTGTGTTGAGCTTTATGCCAATGAATGACTGCCTGACTATGTAAGTAATATTGTTACTGTATTAAGTTTGCAGATGACACAACAGTTTGTAAATTCCAATGAGGGTACAGCAACTTTTTTTTCCCCTTGCTGAACTTCACATTCAGTTGGTGTGGCAATTTTGTTATTGATTATTGACTATAAGAGTGATTCTGAAGTCCTCTGGCTTATGACTGTAATTGAATTTGATGACTAAGTTTGTCTTGGTCAGTGTTTATAGTTTTAATAATCGGGCTAGAAATAAGTGTTTCATAACTTGGATACCACGACTGACTGGAAAACTATACTTAACAAAGTGGTTGCAAGTGATTCTAACATGGTTCTTGACGAGTGGCAGGAGAGAACTCCAGCCCAGTTCAGAGCCCACACCTTTAACCCTTTGATTTCTGATTATACAAAAAAGCTTGATCTTGTGGATATTTGGCAGAAATTTAACCCAGTTACAGCCTGCAGTAACTGCACCAGGCAAACCCGGTGCTCTAGGCTGGATTTTTGGTTAGTATCTAGCAACCAAAAATTCTTTCGGCTGTTCCCGTTAGGGGTCGCCACAGCGAATCATCTATTTCCACCTAACTCTATCCTCGGCATCCTCTACTCTCACCGCAATTACCTTCATGTCCTCTTTTAGCACATCCATATATCTCCTCTTTGGCCTTCCTCTTGACCTCTTGCCTGGCAGCTCCATCTCCAACATCCTTCTACCAGTATAACCACTATCCCTCCTCTGCACATGTCCAAACCATCTCAATCTGGCCTCTCTGACCTTGTCCCCAAAACAGCCGACCTGAGCTGTCCCTCTGATGTGCTCATTCCTAATCCTGTCCATCCTGGTC